AATGTATCAAACAATTTTGCAACACCTAACAACAACTTCTTCAAAATAATCCACATCATCCTATTTGGTTAGGTATACATCTTCTATTGAACTACCAATCAAACCACCACTATCTGCCAACACATATTATTTGACTATTTCCCTACAAAAACCTTCTTTTCACCTTCACTAATTCTCCAATACCACATTACAAATGACAAATGTTAGACGACGAAAATGATCTAGAAGGGGGGTTGAATAGATCACTTATCCTTAAAGAAAGTCAGCGCTTATAATAAATTGGTTTTTAAAACTTTTAAGCGGAAGCAGACAAGGAAATACAATCGTCTAAACAAACAGTTACCAAAAAGATCGGATATACACTATGCCTATATGAAATACCGATAAAGATGAGAAATCGAATCAAAATTTGAACACAAATCAATATGATTTTGTTCACTCAAAGTTGTTCAATTTCCAATGCTTGTGAAAAATAAACCAATTTGAAAATCAGCTCAAAACGTTTGTATACAAGTAATTTGCTGAACACTTGGTGTGCGAAGCACTCCAAGTAAAATTCACTTAGTAAATGTAGTGCTAAGCTTTTTCGATTACAATCAAACGGATTGTAATGAGTTTTTTAAATATGTTTCAACACTATCATAAAACAAAATTTTAGTCAACCAATTTGTTTGCACATAAACTTAAAATTTAGAAATGAAAATAGTAAAAAGAGAGAACAACACCAACTTGTTAAGGCAGTTCCCCCGTCGTCCTTGCTCGGGATACGTTTGCCCTCAATTCTAAAAATATAATTGAGACCTGTATATATAACCTGTTGCAAATTATTTTTACAAGAGAAGCAGTAGAAATCAAACACTCAATCCTAATCGTTGATGTTGTACCTATGCCTTGTCTTCCCTTGATTCAAGATGAATCAAGTCCTCCGAATGTGATGAGTAAACCTCTGATTACGACACCACCTTTGAATAACCCACTGGTCTTCAAATCTTTGCATGGTTAATTTCAAACACCCACAATTTGAACCCAAGCCTTCCTTCCATAATCCTCCAGTTAATACTACTAAATTAACAGAACCTCCCGTTCTTCAATTACCTTCGCTCGGATGAATTTGTGAAGGAACAATTTTATGCAAAACCTCCAAAATTCAAGATTCTTAGAGGACAAAACCCTAACGGTTTTATTCAAGAAAAACTCACTGATCTCTCAACCCAAACCCAATACACTGATCTTATGTTTGGATGTTATCACCTCAATGATACAGAATGCACAACAAAATTGATTATGTGTATTTGTTGAGAAAATGCAAGAAAGAGATGAAGATTATGAGAGGCAAATCAGTGTATATTTTCACTTTTCTTGTTGTTTTGTGAAGAATGAGCTAACACAATATATATGCAAAGCTATGACCAAATAACCAACATAACAGACACTTTGAAAGACAAACATAACAGAAAAATAGTGTGAAACGAGCGAACGGTCGACCTAAAGAATAGGGGGATCGACCTGAGCTCTCCCGAATAAAGAACTATGTAGAAAAAGACTATTTGCATCGATCAGAACAGATCCATGCGTCGACGCAAGGCAACCCGATTTTGACAAATACAGATGAACACAATATGAGTCGACCGGAGGGTTGACGTGAGATTTCCTGAGAGCAAATCTCAAAAATTCATTCTGCATGAGTCGACCTAAGCAAGCTTTGAGTCGACTTAGAACTTGCAAAAATGCTAATTTTGATATGTCTTGCTATTTCTAAGTGCTCCTAATGCATATCTAACTCAACCAATATAATCAAACTAACATAGAACACATATAGTGCTTTGTCTATATGAACTAACACATGTTTTTGATAAATGCTTGACACAAGAAAAATAACGAATGCATGTGCGACTCGATGATACCGTCCAAAGTACATGTTTCTAACTATATATGTTTTGACATCATTAAAACAAGTATAAACAAGTATTGAGACATTTTGCCCTCACATGACAAAAATAATCGCTACTCATCTTTCTAATTTCTCACGAAGGTTCGAGTTTCCCCTTCCTACAATTTTTGACAAATAGATTTGGGTTTAAAATTGCAGCATTCATTATGTGTGCGGCTGCTGTTCTTGAAGAATTCAATTTTGGATATTTCTGATTATGGATGAACTGTGGCTGTTTGAGATTGCAACATTCGTTATGGGTGCGACTGTTCTTGCAAAATTCAATTTTGGATATCCCCGATTCTGGTTTGATTTCTCTTTAAACCTCCAATAGTTGTCTATAAATTTCGATATATCAATTTTAGATTACATTTGATTATGTGCGCAACTATATTAAAACTGTATTTTATATATATATATATATATATATATATATATATATATATATATATATATATATATATATATATATATATATATATATATATATATATATATATATATATATATATATATATATAATCACTAATGTTAGTTTTCATTTTTATGTAATGACCCAAAGATCAAACAATGAGATGCAAAATTCTTAATCTCTTCAGATCTATATCAAATTCTTCAAATAACAATGTAATCATCCAGATTTTCGGTGTTCTTAAAGAATGGATATTAATAGTCCTTTCAAATGTTATATTTCCAAATTCTACAATATCTGGACTGAATATAATTGGATATGGTATTGGTAAGGTTTATTTGTAATGACTAATGCAATATTTTTATCTCCTATTCTTCTCAGTTACTTATATATTTGACTTGCAGCACTATATGAAATTGTGATGACTAATGCAATGCTTTTATCTTCCGCCCTCCCCCAATTACTTATATATTTGACTTGCAGCACTATGCAGAGTTATGATATACAGTTATATAAAGATCAGGATGTCCGAGCTTACTAAGTAACCTCATTATTATTGAAAATTAAAAAACGCATATGAATAATAAATATATTATTATATTTCTAATAAAAAAATTAATACATATACTATATTATTCCAAAAATTAATTCAACATAAAAACGGTTTATTAAATAAAATATTTTCTTTTATGAAAAAGTTAATAAACACATGTATTATTATTATTATTATAAACATTTATATCATTAAAAAAATATAACTCACGAAATAATGAAAATAAATATAATAAACTATATTTTAGATCACGAAAGAAAACGCATGATTGGATGGATATGAGTTTACATTTTGTTGAAAATAATAATAAATTTTATACTGATTTAAGGTTCATTACAACTCATAACTCATCCAATTTAAAATCGATTGATATAATCTTTTACTTACATATTAAATAATTGATTAATTAAATTTTATTATAATTAAGAATTAATTGGATTCTAATTACATTATAATTTAAAAATAGTATTAATTTATTATTATGAAAATCATATTTACAGGTTTAATAATTAATTTTATGATAATTTACAATTAATTGGATTCCAATTGCATTACAAAGATCAGTTTATACATCATTTTATTCATCTTTATAATTAATTATATTTATAATTTTAATAATTAAAATAATATTCTTCATGTTGTTAAATTATAAATCATAAATAAAAATATTAATTTACCAATTCAATTATATACAATCAAATGTACATATTTTTTATTATTAGGAGAATTAGTTTTACAGCTTTAAAAACCAAAGACATAAATTTTTTTTATAATGCATTATATTTATTAAAAATCATTGCAAATACCTCAAGTATTAATAAGATTAAATTTTTTTCATTTATATTGATATAAATAAAAATAAATATTTTTATAAAAAATATTCATAATCAATATTTATTTAAATTTATCCATCACAATTTAACACATAATATAACTATATGCACATTCCTAACCATTAATTAAAATATTAAAATAAAATTTATTTAAAGCATAAAAAATTAATTTATTTTTTATAAAAATATGTTTGAATTTAATTAGTATGCACCGACAGTGTAAAATTATTTTATACGTTTAACCAATCATTCTCATGCATTCCGCTACATCAGACTGTAAATTTTAAATTAACTGAATAACATGACAAATTAATATATCCTATTGGATAAAAGTGTAAAATTGTGCAAACCAGTTAAACTCGTATTTATGATACTAATAAAAGAAATCAAATATTAATAAAATATTTACAATAAACTATATTTAAAGTTGTTCACAATTAAATTTAATAATAAAAATAATAAATATTAAAATTTTATACTATCACTGAAAATTGAAAAATACATATGAATAATAAATATGCTATTTTCTTTTACTTGAACATTAAAAAATATAAGTCATATAATATTTTATCCCATAAGATTTATTTGTCACTAATAATAGAAGAAGGTCAACTACTTTTAAGACAAAACTTTATAAATCTTTGTAAAAAGTTTTTAAAAACATTAATGTCATAAAAATTAATGCTATGATTTAAAAATAATCAAATGTTGGTAGGTATAATATTTAAAAATAAAATATATTTAAAGCTATTCCCGATTAAATGCTATAATGATTATAATATATATTTAAAATTTATATTATCAACATTATTACTGAAAAACTGGAACACTAGTTGAATTCTATTACGTTAAACTTTTGACTATCCATCTATAATTTAATTTAATTTTTAATTTTATTACTTAACAATAGAATCACATCAGATTTACAACTATTTTTTTATAAAGAAATTTAAAAAATATCAATTTCATTTGGGAACAAAATTGAAACATTTATATCATTTAAATAAAATATAATAGACTATATTTTAAATCAGGAAAAAAACGGATGAATAGATGGACTTGACAAAACGGATGAATAGATGGACTTGACTATATTTTAAATCAGGAAAAAAACTGATAAGAGACTATATTTTTTATAATCAAATTAATATTATTCATATTGTTTTTAAATTATAAATAATAAATATAAATATTAAATGACTAATTAAATTATATTCAATCAAAAATACCTATTTTTTATTATTAGGATTAGCGTCTAGACGGGCATTCGCGTACCCGTCTGTCCGGTTTTTTAATGCGTATGAATGAAAATATAAACGATAAAAACTTATCAATTTTACTATAAAAACCAAACAAAAGCTCCAAGTGAAAAGTTTCACCAATTTCATGATAAAAACCATAACAAAATTTCAAAGTGGAAAAACTCTTCAATTTCACTATAAAAACCATAACAAATGTTCAAAGTTAAAAAACTTAACAATTTCACTATAAAGACCATTACAATAGTTTCAAGTTAAAAAAAACTCACAAGTTTAATTATAAACACCGTCCATAACAAAAGTTCCAAGTGAAAAATTTCATTAAAAATACCATCACAAAAGTTAAAACTTAAAAAACTCACCAATTTCACTGTCAAGACCATATTAGAAGTTCCAAGTTATAAAATTACTCAATTTTACAATAAAGATCATTACAAAAGTTCAATGTTAAAAAACTAACCAATTTTACAATAAAGATCATAATAAAAATTTCAAGTCAAAAAATTCAACAATTTCATTATAAACATCATAACAAAAGTTCTAACTCAAAAAATTTACCAATTTCACTATAAAAACCATTACAAAATTTCCAACCCAAAAAATTCAGCAATTTCACTATAAATGCCATAATAAAAGTTCAAAGGTTAAAAAAACTTCTCAATTTTCTCTATAAACTATAACAAAAGTTCCAATTTAAAAAACTCACAAATTTCACTGTAAAGACATAACAAAAGTTCCGAGTGAAAAAGCTGACGAATTTCAAAATAAAATCCATTACAAAAGTTTCAAGTAAAAAAATTCAACAATTTTACTATGAAAATCATAGCAAAAATTCCAAGTCAAAAACTCGCGTATTTCCTTATAAAAACCATTACAAAAATTCAAATTTTAAAAACTCACAAATTTCTTTCTAAAAACCATAAAAACTATCCAATTTTACAACAAAGACCATTACAAAAGTTCAATATTAAAAAACTCAACAATTATACTATAAAGACCGTAAAAAAAGTTTCAAGTCAAAATATTCAACAATTTCACTATAAATACAATAATAAAAGTTTCGAGTAAAAAAACTCATCAATTTCACTATAAAAACCATTACAAAGTTTCCAAGTCAAATAATTCAACAATTTCACTATAAACAGCATAACAAAAATTCAAAAGTTAAAAAAACTTCTCAATTTCTCTCTAAAAACCATAACAAAAGTTCAAAGTTAAAAAACTAACCAAAAATGACAAACTTATGGGTTTTAAAAATCTTATTGATTTTAATCTTTCTTTAATTGGTAAACAAGGATGGTGTATTCTCACTAATCTACAATGTCTTATACCACAACTCTTCAAAGCTCGATACTTCCTTCACACAAATTTTGTTGGCTCATTGGTGGGTTATAACACAAGCTTTGTATGGCGTATCATCTATAATGCTAAATTCATTTTTAGAGAAGGAAAGATATGGTGTATAGGAGATGGTGTGAATCTTCTAGTTGGAATGTGTACTTGTTAAAAAGTACAATGAGACACAACCCCTTGTTGTGTAGGATTGTTTGAGAGTTTTAGGATTTTTAAGTGTGCGAGAGCTCGCCCACATATGGTTGTGGAGAGCTCCCAAGTGTATTTTCTAAAGGAATTTTTTTCCAAATATTGGTTTAGGGATAGCTCACGTAGAGATGTGAGAAGCTCTGTATCTAGGTGTCTCTGGAGATATCGAAGGTCTTCCTTCCAATCTAAAGATGGGTATATATGGGAAACTTCAATGGACCTTTATTAGAATCCAAAAGGAGCAATTTCCTCCTATTTTGGGCGAAGACACAAGAGTGGGAAGACTTGACTCTTCATGCAATCATGGGAAAGATGATTATTGTATTGTATTTATATGTGGAAGTATACACACCTCAAATAGTAGCAAGTGATGTAAAAGTAAGAGTATTAATCCCACAAAGATTATATTAACTTAAGTTGATTCTAAGGGTAAAACTTTGTGAATAGTCATGGGTAAAATATGATAATAATGAGTGGTTGTCACTGATTTAGGTTGAGCGATAATGAATTACAGTAAAGATGTTAAATCAGTAGTGAGAGACATGTTGCACAATGATCCATTTAATGAGTTTCATCTTTTATGTGTGAATTATGAAATCTGTCTTGACAAATGATGCCAAAAAGTGATCTAGTGGTGTATGTCTACAACATGTAAACATATGTGCTAGATTAAGGAACGGGTTTATAAGTCTCACAATAACATTAATGCATGTCTTCACTACTATAAATACTACACTTCATGACGAAACTTTCACCCCAGTTATTGTAAAACCGGTGTACAATTCCTGGATGCACCCTGTTTTTTTTATTAAAAAAAATTCAATATATTCCATTTTATTAAAACCAAAGGGTAAACCTATTCATTGCACATGCTTTGAATCTCAGCAGCCTTAGTTTATGTTTTTATCCCATTAAAAGTGGCGCCTTCTTGAATATTTTATTTTTAATCTAAAAACACGCTACTTTTCACCTTAGTTTTCTTTCCAACTGAGGTGAAAATGTTTCTCTGATATATATATATATATATATATATATATATATATATATATATATATATATATATATATATATATATATATATATATATATATATATATATATATATATATATATATATATATATATATATATATATATATATATATATATATATATATATATATATATATATATATATATATATATATATATATATATATATATATATATATATATATATATATATATATATATATATATATATATATATATATATATATATATATATATATATATATATATATATATATATATATATATATATATATATATATATATATATATATATATATATATATATATATATATATATATATATA